GCTCATGTGCTTGGTGGACAACACGCAGGAGCCTTTATGCGGGAAACCTCATCGACAGGCGTCGAATTGGTTCCGAGTCCCAAATGGTTCGTGACTAGCCTGAATTACAGCAGCTTAGACAAAGGTTTATAGATTGTTGCAAGGAATGAACCCGTCTAAAAAGCAGCTGGAACAGATACAGTTTAACCGAAGTTGCTAAATGAGATGACTTTGGAACTAAGTAAACTACGGACGATGGTATTTCAGAAGTAACACGAGAGTTGTACCTGACATCTTGCATGGAAGCTAGTATCTGACCAACTTCCAAAAAGTGCGAAATTTCGAGTTCAAGTGGGACCGGAACAATAGGAGAATGCCGTGACTACTCCACCTTGTAAAACGTCGTTGACCCAGTGTGAAATTTTGGGAGCAATCTGAAAGGAGCCAAGTCAACAAGCCAAGCTTGAGCAATAAATGTAACAATTTTGCAACATACATCAAAGTGATAAGTTATATCAACATCATCATCATTATACACGTCAGCTGGAGGTGGGAAACACCTCAGCTACTGCGCCGAAATAGATAAGAGAAAAGGAAAATAAATACCACAGTTGCATGCCAGCTGAGCTACCAGTAACGGATAGGCAACGTTCCGGTAAGCTACCAGCCAGCTACTAGGCAAAAGGAAAAAAGAATTATGTTTTACGCTACGGAATGAGACCGTGGGTGGAGGGGGAGGCTAAAAGGGATGGGGAGCGAGAAAGATACGCACAGAACAAACGCCACTGAGGTCGGCTCCTTGTCATGTCAGCAAGTGTATCCAGCCAAACGTGTTTATCGTCTTTTGGACCCCAACCAGGGGGCCGTGATGCTCCAACCGTGGCCAACACAGAAGTGAGGGCCTTCATTCCTTTAAACCAAGTCATCGCTTCGCCACCCCTGCTCTTCTTCCATCCACATCCTCGGCGCGCAAACAACGCACGTCGAGGGAGTCTGTGGGCTGACATGCGCAACACGTGGCCGAGCCATCGGAGCCTGGGGCGTGAAATGACGGTGCTGACCGGTTCAGTTCCTTTTTCTGTGCCTAAACAAGACGTCGAACATGCTAGTTATTCACGCGGTGTTCCCACCGGATGTGAACCAAACTGCGAAGGCACCGGTGGTCGAATGTAACTAGCCTCTTCATTTCCGCCGCTCTTAGTGGCCAGGTTTCGCAAACATACAGTAGGGTCGAACGTACCGCTGCATTGTACACTCTACCCTTCAGGGCGAGAGTAATGTCGCGCCACCGCCATAGGTGGCGAAGGTTAACAAAATCACCTCGAGTTTTTACTATACGATTCGTGATCTCGTCTTTGATCCCAAGAGCACTGATACAACTTCCCAGGTAGTTGAATTTCCGAACGACCTCTAGCTGATCCCCACCAAGGGTCAGCGCAGGAGGCCATCCCTGCCAATCTTGGAGAAATGCTTTACATTTTGATGGTGCAAAGCAAAGCCCCGAAGCGGATGACAGCCAGTGCTACTCTGTCCAGCGCGGCTTGGCACGTATGTGAGCTGTTACAGATGAGGGCAATGTCATCTGCATACTCCAAGTCGAGAAGTCGTTCTCCTGGGAGTATCTCCATAACTTCCAAGTCAAGTCCTGTAAATGCAAACTCCATGACTTCGTCAATAGCGAAGTTGAAGAGGAAAGGTGACTTCGTGCATCCTTGTCTCGCACCTGTAGCAGTCTGGAGATTCCCCGGTTTGCCTGTGTAAAATTCTAACCAAAATTCTATAATTGTACACCTAGGCAACCGGTGTGGTTTGTTGAACTGCTTGCTGAGTTCAAATGCTTTACTTGCTCATCGGCATTTTTGCTTGGCGCTCGTTTCGGTTGCAACGCGCAACTGCCCTGTGTGTTGTGCTTGATCCGTTCCCCTAGCTAGAGCGTCCACGGTGTCTTTCTTTTATAGCTAGATACCAGGGAATCTTTTACTGTACCAATAAAAGTTTCCCTGCAACTCGATCCGTCTTCTGGAATCGCTCTCTGGGCTCCTGGAATAGGCAACCCTCTAAACACCGCTGGAGATATTAAAGGGTGGCGAAAGCTTGCCGTAAGCTCTCACTCTGCCCGTGCTACGCGCGTATCAAGCTTGGATAATATTTACATATTTCTCGGGCACACCTTTCCTGATTAGACAGTTCCACAGGGCACATCGATCAACCGAATTAAAGGCACCTATTATGTCGAGGAACACGACAACGGTGGGCCGCCAATATGTGTGACGGTGCTCCGACAAATGACGCAAGGTGAAGAGGTGGTCGATACAGCCCTGACCCCGAAGAAACCCGGCTTGCTCCTCACGAATCTGGCTTCCACGAGCGCCAGTCAGTCTGTAAAGTATTATGGAGGCGAGTAATTTGGAGGCGATGGGGATCAAACTGATTCCTCTATGGTTGCCGCATTCCGAACGCGAGCCTCCTTTGAAGATGGGAACGATAACGGAGCGGCTCCAGTCGGTTGGGACAGTCTCCTGCTCCCACAGTTTCACTAGTAATTCATGTAAAGCATCAACAATAGTAGAGCCTCCGAATTTGAAGAGGGCTGGAGGAAGATCATCTGGTCCCGCTGTGATGGGAGTATACACTCGAACGAAC